TTTGACTATGCAGATTTTCGTTGCCAGAGTGATGTCTCTACTCTTCACTATTTTATCGAGATAGGTCATTGCTCTCCTCTCAAGAAGTAAGAGTCTTCTGATTTCCAGGCTACAGTCTGCATCTGCAGTAATCTTTGCACCTAGAAATACAAGGTCTGTCACTGCCTCCATGTTTTCTCCCTCTATTTCCCAGTTGTCAATCATGCTTGTTGTCATAATCTTTGGGTTTTTTATGTTTAGCTGCAACCCAGCTTTGCGCTTTCTTCTTTCACCTTGATTAGAAGGCTCCTCAGCTCCTCCTCGCTTTCGGCCATCAGAGTGGTGTCATCTGCACATCTAAGGTTGTTAATGTTTCTTCCAGCACTTTTTACCCCAGCCTTGCATTCACCAAGCCCCACACATCGCATGATGTGTTTTGCATACAAGTTGAATAGGTTGGGTGAGAGTATACAACCCTGCCGTACGCCTTTCCCAATCTTGAACCAGTCGGTTGTTCCATGGTCAGTTTTCTCTTACGGGACCCCATTTGAGATTGGGACCCACAGTTTAAAAAGCAGTGATCTAGAGGGCCACAAGTTACCCACCCTGGCTTAGAGATGGCAAAACGGCAGATTTATTTTGCAGTGACATAATGAAACAGCTCCTGTGAGGCAAGATTAAAACACTGAACAAGCTTTCATTTTGACATTTTAATTTTTTTTAAGTATCCAGTAGTACTAAGCCTCCACCCTCTGAAAACTAAACATTGCCCTCGTAGTACCTGATCAGCCGACACGGCGCTCCTCGGATTGCAACACTGACATTGCTTCCAGCATCCAGATGGGTCCCTAGGAGGCTGATTTTCGTCCCTCCTGAAGTGGGACCTCGTTCTGGGTCCACTCCATAAAAACTGGGAGTCTGGATGGCAAAGAAATCCATAATTAGATGCCTCCTGCAATTAGATTTATTTTGAAAACTGACATCCCTCCCTTTTAGAGTAGTCTGCACTGCTGTAGATGGCTAACAATTAAAGTCAGTCATCAATTATTATAAAACCGCATACAAAATGAAAGGGCAGTATAATAAGGTACACAATTTAGAGAGCTCACACACCTTCTTTACACTCACACTAGTCTCTGTTATTCTTTCAAGAATCCATTCACTTTGGTATTCTGAACCCTATGAGTCCAATGCCCTCTGACAGTTTCCAATGCAGACAATTTCTATCATGTATTATAGTGATTATTTATTTAAACTGAATATGAAGATGGATTGCCTAACCCACAGCCAGATTACCACAAAAGTGAAGGGAGTGTCCGACTGGGTCCGGTAGTCAGCACTGCAGTCCCCGACACAGAGCTCCACTGGCCCAGGCGGAGGGTCTGGTAGAAGCGATGGTTCCAGTTCACACACCAGCCTGAGAGGAAGGGGGGGGGTTGTCAAAATCATTGCATTTCCCTTCATCCAAACCTTACAACACCATCCAATCAACACTCCCTCAAGTGATGTTACGTGTAACTATTTACTAGCTTCCATACCTTAATACAAATGTGTCAAAACTCAAAGTCTGTGAGCCGAATCTGGTCTGCCATGTCATTTGATGTGGTCCCTCAGATGCTAGACTACACCTCCTGTATTCCTCATCATTAGACATTATGGCCATAGCTGATGGGAGTTGTGTACAAAAACACTTGGAAGGCTGCCGTTTTTTCTCTTCAGTTGGGAGAGTAGGGTTTGATTTGAGACACAAGGCTTGTGGACATGATGTCTGATTTTAAAATGTCCTTTAACCTCAGAGTGACAAGTGTTGTTGAGCTGAAATTCCCATGATCCTCAATTTGTAGCTTGCTCTCATCAAAACCGATGGCAGTTGTCGTTCTATAGTATCCGGGGACCCAAACAGGGTAAAACTAAAGAGCACCAGCCACATTAAAATATATAGTTGACCCTCTGTATCCACAGATTCTCCATCCATGGAACCAACAGCCCTCTGAAAGCAACCATAAGGCTGATATGGTCCTCAATTAAAAGAAAGAAATAGTTGAGTGATTTGTTGTATTCAGTTGATTTACATAAAAAGAGTGGGAACAATGCTTTTAGGAAAGTTGGAAAGTGAGAGAAAAGGGGAAAAAAAGAATAAGGGGTAGGAGGGTAGGGTAGTGTGGGGGTACACTTCCAGGTCTTCCCAGGCTGTGCAATCTTTTCACTTTCTTAGACCTTGTTGTTTTTTGTCTTCAGTTTCTTATTGATGATTCCTTTGAGTTTCGTTTATAGTTTACTAATATAGATTTCTTTATTTTCATTTTTTATAAAGTCCAAAAAATTTGTCCAATCCATTTTTTGATATCTTCCATTTATTTGACAGATTTTTTGAGTAAGTCTGTCCATATTCAAAATGTCTAGAACTTTTAAGGTCCATCGTTCGATTGTAGGTATTACTTTGGTTTTCCATACTCTGGCTAAAATAATTCTTGCTGCAGTTGTAAGATAAAAAAAGATCTTATCTGTATTTTTATCTATTTTGAAATCAGTGATCCCTAATAAAAAATATTCGGGCTTTAATTCGAATTTAATCTGAAGAATTACCTCAATCTTTTTATGTATTTGGTGCCAGAAATTCTTCTTACACTTCCACCACATGTGGATGAAGTTACCTGTGGTTTTTTTTTTCACATTTTCAACATTTCTCGTTGTTTTTACCCTTGCTAGTCTTTAATAATAGTGCTGGCATTAGGTACCATCTATAAAAGAGTCTGTACCAGTTTTCCTTAAGCTCTGTTGCATAAGTATACTTTATTTTCTTACGCCATATCTCCTCCCACTCTGACATAGATATCAAGCGATTTATGTCTCTAGCCCAGTTTATCATGTTTTCCTTTATCTGTTCCTTTTCCGTAGACCATATTAGTAGTTGATGGTATATTCTTCTTACTAATTTTGTATTGGTTTTTATTATTTTGTCCCAAAATCTTTCTTTTGTTTCGAAGCCTAATTCGTTATCTATGATAATATTCTCTTTGATCTGATAGTACTGAAACCAATTGAGCGTTGGGTCGAGAGATCTTAATTCCTCCTGTGATCTAAGCGACACTCCTTGCGTATTAACTTTTAGTAGTTGTTTATATGGTATCCATTTCTCCCTGGGAAGCTCTCTTAGATGGTTCGCCTTGTTTGGCGAGAACCGTAGTGGTGTCTTTATATATGGTTTTTCTTTATAATTATTCCAAGTTTGAATGAGCACCTCTCTTATGTAGTGATTTTTTTTTCCTTTTTTGCTTTCCCTAAAACCACTTCTTGACCTGAGTTGTGTGGGAGAAATTGCCAAGTGGGCTTTTCATTCTGGGCAGGATCCATTCCTTGGATTCACTCCTCACTTTGTAAGGGACGCCTGCCAGGTTATCAGCACTACTATTATCAGAAAGGCCTTCTGAGTGTCCTCAGGCATTGCTCTGTGCAGTAAGGAAGATGCCATAAATACTTTCGGTCTGGCATACTCTCCTCTTTAATCAACTTTGCCAAAGGAAATGCCAACATTTTTCCCAACATAGAATAAGGACCTAAGAATAGTACAGAGGTTTCTGTACTTGGACAAGGGAGGCCGGTGGTGGTATACAATATTGCTCCATATTCAGTAGGAACCTTACAGTAGTAGTTCTCAACCTGGGGGTCCCCAAATGTTTTGGCCTTCAACTCCCAGAAATCCTAACAGCTGGTAAACTGGCTGGGATTTCTGGGAGTTGTAGGCCAAAACACCAGGGGACCCACAGATTGAGAACCACTGCATTATAGTCTCTCACTTATTCTGAATGCCAAGACCTTAATGGTAAGGAATCTCAGTGGCTCTGGAAGCTAATTTACCTCTGTTGCAGGCCATTCCTTACTCTTTTCTTTTTTCAAAACTGGAAGTTTACTTCCAGTTTTGAATAGTCTTACATGTCCCAAGATGCAAATGAATCGTAAATCCTGCTGCTTCTTCTGAACTGCAATAAATGAGTTAATTTAACATCTTGGCTTCCATGGAAACCAATAAAAGGAATGCAAGAGTGGAAACTGGAGATAGCTCCTGTATCTTTAATGGTTGTGTAGAAAAGATATTTCAGCAGATATTGCTTGTTATGGAACCAAGTGAACAAGCAATAACTATTGAAATTCTCTCTTTTAAACAACTAATGAAGGCACAGGAGCCTTCTGGAGTTTTCAGTGAAATAACCATGGTGTATTTATTTAGTTATTTATTATATTATTTACTTCATTTATATACCGCTTTTCTCAGCCCTTGAGCGACTCAAAGCGGTTAACAATAGCAAAATTCAAGGCTCAACATCATAAAATCAGTTAAAAACAATTAAAACAAGACATAATAAACAATCAATTAAACATAAGTATAACATCTCATTAGCGTCTCATAGGTAGAATCAAGATCCAATCTCATCATCCATTGTTCCATATTCCTATATTAATTACACTGCCTATTCAAATGCCTGCTCGAATATCAGGTCTTCACTTTCCTCCGAAATGCTAATAGGGAGGGGGCCAATCTAATTTCTGTAGGAAGGGTGTTCCACAGCCGAGGGGCCACCACTGAGAAGGCTCTGTCTCTCGTCTCCGCCAGACGTACTTGTGATGCAGGCAGGACCAAGAGCAGGGCCTCCCCAGATGATCTTAACATTCTAGCTGGTTCATAGGAGGAGATGCGTTTGGACAGGTAAGTTGGGCCAGAACCGTTTAGGGCTTTATAGGCTAATGCCAGCACTTTGAATTGTGCCCGGTAGCAAACTGGCAGCCAGTGGAGCTGGCGCAACAGAGTTGTATGCTCCCTGAGAGCCGCTTCTGTATTTGTTTCTTGCATGGCTAGAAAGAAGAAGGGTATTCAGTCTACCACTCTAACCATTATACCACACTGACCCTTCATTTTTCTCAGTGGAAGGAAAAATAGCTGCATGAGCTGTCTTGATAGAAGGGAAAAGAGAGAGAGAAACACCTAGGTACTTCCACCTTAGTGCCAGCCTCCAATTTCAGCCTGCTTTTCTTTGAAAAAATAAGTAAAATCTCACATGCAACTACATGCAGTGCCTAGTTTTGCCGTAAGATAGTGTTGTGAAGTGTTCTAGACAAGCTAAATCATGACAGAAAATCTAAACGTTCTTCATTACCCATAGATTAATGGACACGCCAGTCCCTTTCTGTAGCACAGACTCTGTCAATCATCAGAAACAGTAGTGCAACCTCCCCAAGTTGGTGCCTTCCAGACATATTGGACTGAAACTTTCATCATCCTCAGACAGTGTACTCATTAAATTGCATACCAATACATCTGGATTCCACCAGTTTGGGGAGAGCTGCAGAACTATTCAGCACAGACCCCTGACTGCTCTTCATGAAAAGATAATACTTCTAAAAGGAATTTAAAATAATTGAAAAAAAATTACTTCTTTGGCCTCACATTCCACATGGCTACTCTGTGCAAGGATAACGTCTCTTAAGTCTCAATGAATATTTTCAATCTGGGACTCACTCTAGATTTAGTCTATATCAGCATTCCTCAACCTGGGGGTCAGGACCCCTATAGGGGTTGCGAGGGGGTGTCAGAGGGGTCACCAAAGGCCATCAGAAAACACAATATTTTCTGTTGGTCATGGGTTCTCTGTGGGAAGTTTGGCCCAATTCTATCATTGGTGAGGTTCAGAATGCTCTTTGATTGTAGGTGAACTATAAATCCCAGCAACTACAACACTATAATATCAAGGTCTATTTTCCCCAAACTCCACCAGGATTCACATTTGAGTATATTGAGTGTTCGTGCCAAGTTTGGTCCAGATCCATCATTGTTTGAGTCCACAGTGCTCAAACAGGTGAACTACAACTCCAAAATTCAAGATCATTGCCCACCAAACCTTTGTAGTATCATGGGAGTTCTGTGTGCCAAGATCGGTTCAATTCCATCATTGGTGGAGTTCAGAATGCTCTTTGATTGTAGGTGAACTATAAATCCCAGCAACTACAACTCCCAAATGACAAAATCAATCCCCCCCCCCCCAACCTCACCAGTACTCAAATTTGGGCATATTGGGTATTTGTGCCAAATTTGGTCCAGTGAATGAAAGTACATCCTGCACAGGCTCGTAGCCAGGATTTTGATTCGGGGGGGGGGGGGGATGGGGGACTGAGTTTGATTCGGGAGGGGGCTCAGTCTGAGTAAAGAGGGTCTAGCCTAGTAAACCTTTTGTATCGTTACCCCAATACCCCCAATGCTTATGGGATATATTGAGCATGGTGATCAGATCATGATATGAATAAACATAACAGTTTAAATAATGTACCAGTAAGGCCTTTTTGTAGACCACCATGAGAATTTCGGGGGGGGGGGGGCTGAAGCCCCCAAAGCCTCCCCCCCCCCACCCCACCCCAGCTACATGCCTGATCCTGCATATCAGATATTTACATTACAATTCACAAGAGTAGCAAAATTAGAGTTAGGAAGTAGCAACAAAAATAATTTTATAGTTGGGGGTCACCACAACATGAGGAACTGTATTAAGGGGTCATGGCATTAGGAAGATTGAGAAAAACTGATCTATACTATCTAAAATAGAAGCCAAGGAGGCTTCAATGAAAAAAAACAGAAGGCACCATACAGAAAGGCAAAGGTTACATCTCAGAGGTACAAGCAGCCATATTTCTCCTCCAACTCAACCCCCCTCCCCAATATTCTGTGTTTAGATGCACCCCATAATAGCCAGACCCCCATATCTTTGCATTTGATTGCTGACAGGCCCTTACTCACCTTTCAGCACTGATGTACTCCGCAGGAAGAGAGCTGCAGCGCACCCCAGCCACACGGACCCCCACCTCAAAGAAATGTAGCCCCAGGTTCTCGCCCCAAACTGTCACCCGTGTCCCTCCTTCCTTGGGGCCAGTTAGTGGCAGTACCTGGAGAGTAGGGAGGGAAGAAGGGAAGGAGGAAAAAAGAGAGAAGCATCCAGTGAAGAAAGTCGAGGAGGCTGCTATGAACCTATATGAAAGTTTCCTAAAGAAAGACAAGGTTTTCTCCTCACTTAAGGGCTTTGACAGAAAAATCCTTTGTAATATTTGTCATGTATACATTTCTATACTGTTCCTGCAAAATTAAATTAGTCCACAATGAGCGGAGAGAAAAGCAGCACAGCATTTCTATACCCAGCTTCAAATGTGTGGAAAACTCCTATGCCAGTGGGGTACATCAATATGACCAGTGTTTGAAACCATTAATAAACAATCCGATTAAAATGAATACAGGTAAAGTTGAAGGTTGTCCCCTGACATTAAGTCCAGTTGTGTCTGACTCTGGGGGTTGGTGCACATCTCCATTTCTAAGCCGAAGAGCCAGCATTGTCCGTAGACACCACCAAGGTCATGTGGCCGGTATGACTGCATGGAACGCCGTTAAATGAGTATAGGAGATGGAAAATGGAAAAGACCGTCTGACCAGCCCTATGTTAGCTGTGCATGTGCAGTGTAGGCGTCACATCTGCATAGATAATATATGTATAAAGTACACATGATGTAAGAGTTCTAACAAAATAGGTGGCATACTATACATTGATATTTTGTAGATTTTACTCATAATATAGAGCAGGGGTTCTCAAACTAAGGCCCAGGGGCCGGATACAGCCTTCCAAGGTCATTTACCCAGCCCTCGCTCAGGTTCAACCTAAGTCTGAAAGCACATAACAACAACAACAATCCTATCTCATCAGCCAAATGCAGGCTCACACTTCCCATTGAAATACTAATAAATATATATTTTTATAATTGTTCTTCCTTTTAATTATTGTATTGTTTTAAGCATTTTTGCACTACAAATAAGACGTGCAGTGTGTGTAAGAATTCATTTATGTGTTTTTAACATTATAATTTGGCCCTCCAACAGTTTGAGGGACTCTGTTTAAAAGGTTTGTGGACCCCTGATATAGAGTATCAGTACAGGCGTACAGTGTAAAAAGGCACCGGGATTGTGGCACAGCTGGCTGAGTGTCAGCTGCATTAAGATCACTCTGACCAAAAAAGGTCATGAGTTCGAAGCCAGCCCAGGTTGGAGTGGGGTTCCAACCAATTGTGTGTAGCCTGTTGTCGACTTTTGCAACCCGAAAGACAGTTGCATCTATCAAGTAGGAAAATTAGGTACCACCTTAAAGTGTGGGGAGGCTAAATTAACTGATTTATGAGGCCATAAAAAAGACTCCAGTAAAGCATTCCAGCAGGGAAGCATGCGGGGAATGCGGAAGTGCTTCATCAGCATCGCAGATGGACGATGAAAGCGACAGCTCCCCTGGCGGCCAGAAAAAAAGGTAAATAGCCTCTGTCTATGTCTGTATATGTTTGTATGTCAAAAATTGGCATTAAATGTTTGCCATATATGTGTAATCTGCCCTGAGTCCCCTGTGGGGTAAGAAGGGTGGAATATAAAAGCAGCAAATAAAATAAATAAATAAATAAAAACAGGAAATCTCAAGGCATCTGCTATGACTGATATGCCAGTCTTGAATTTGTGTAGTGGGCTACCAGTTACCACAAAATGAAGAGAAATGAAAAAGCTTCTTCTCTATTACTTTAATCACTACACATTATTTCATCATTTTTCACCAACTGGAGTTTTGCCTGAAGTACAAAAGATCTAATTCTTAATAAAAGTCAGCACATAAAATGCAGGGATTTGATGAAGTTGCTCCTCTTACTTGGGTGATCCGAGGGTGGGCACAGCGAGCGCCCCGCCGGCCTGGCGGCACCCAATTCTGACGGGAAGCAGGGCAATGAGGCCGCAAGAGACACCGACGTTCGGGAACACACCAACCGCACTCATAGCGTGGGTCCGACTTGAGGCACAGGCCACAGCTAGAACGCTGGGCAGAACATTTGTACAACAAAGCTGGGAAGAGAGCGAAATAAACGTATTGGAGACTAGCAGTACCCGCCACGCGTTGCTGTGGCCAACCTTCCCTCCCTCTTTCTCTCCTCCCTTCCCTCTTTCCTTCCTTTCCTCTTTTTCTTTCCCTATCTCTCATCTTTCTTCCATCTCTACCTGTTTCTTTCCTCCCTTTCTTTGCTCTTTGGTTACATCCTTCCTTCCTTCCTTCTCTATCCTTTCCCTCCTTCATTCCTTCCCTCTTTCCCGCCTTCTCTCGTTACTTCTTGACTGTCCCTTCCATTTAATATTGTATTTATATCTTACATAGAAAAAAGGAAAGGAAGAAGGAAGGAAGGAGGGACAGGAAGGAAGGAAAAAGAAAGGGAGGGAGGGAAGGAGGGAAAGAAGGGAAGGAAGGAAAAGAAAGAAGGAGGGACAGGAAGGAAGGAAGGAAGGAAGGAAGGAGGGAAGGAAGGGAAGGGAAGGAGGATGAAGAAAGGAAAGAAGGAAAGGAGGAGGAAGAAAAGAAGAAAGAAAAGGAAGAGGGAAGGAAGGAAGGAGGAGGGAAAGAGGAAAGAGGAGAAGGAAAGAGGAAAAGAAAGAAAAAAAAAAAAGAAAGGGAGGAAAGAAGGGAAGGGAGGGAGAGAAGGAAAGTCCTTCATTCAAGCACCGTGGACCTTCCTCGCCTCCTCCTCCTCCTCCTCCTCCCCTTCTTCCTTGCGTGGAGCACTCCGTTGCTGCTGCTGGCACTTTCCAACAGGGAAAGGAGGAGGAGACTGCTCTCCTGACATAAGAGGGGAAGAGAAGGGGCTGCATGAGTCAAGCCTCCACCTCCACTCCACTCGCTTGTGTGTGTGTGTGTGTGGCTGTGCACGTGCACCTGGCTTTAACGGCTGTTTCCCAGTGAGGAGGAGGAGGGGGTGTGGCCATGGGTCTCGGTAGACATGCAGTTTCTCCTTTGTGGACATGCAGTTTAGAAGTCCTTTCTGCTTTTTGTTTTCCTTGTTTTTTTGAGTGGAGAACATACATTGGGTTGTTAGGGACATAGTGTCCAAATTTGGTGTCAATTGCCCCAGTGGTTTCTGAGTTCTGTGAATAGCACAAACGAACATTACATCTGATTACATTTTCTTGCCCTGGTGAAGAGAGTTGGACTGGATGGCCTTAAGTATTTTCTGTTGGTCATGGGGGTTCTGTGTGGGAGGTTTGCCCCGAGTCTGTCATTCGTGCGGTTCAGAACGCTCTTTGATTGTAGGTGAACTGTGAGTCCCAGCAACTACAACTCCCAAATGTTAAGGTCTATTTCCCTTAAACTCCATCTGTGTTCATATTTGGGCATATGGAATATTCGTGCCAAGTTTGGTCCAGATCCATCATTGTTTGAGTCCACAGTGCTCTCTGGATGTGGGTGAAGCTATATTTCTATCCCACCTTCAGTGTGCCCAAGATTATACGAGGGATATTTTTTAAGTAAGGTCCGTTTGAACATAAGTACACAACGAAAGTTTATTTCAAAAAAGTGAATTCATTTTCAGAAAGTACATACTTCACTCTATTTTTGACATAGTTGCCAAGTTTGTTCAAACACTTATCATACCTCTGAACCAATTTTAAAATACCCTCTTCCCGAATCCTCGCTTCAACTGAAGCCACCAAATCGTCTGTAATCAAAGAAGGGCGACCGGAGCTGTCCTCATCATGGACGTTGTCACGGCCATCTTTGAATTGTCGTACCCACTTACACACTTTGCTTTCACTCATAACAGTATCACCGTACACTTCACAAATCTGTCGATGAATTTCTGCAGCAGGCAGGTTCCTTGCTGACAAAAAACCGTATCACTGAGCGAACCTCACATGCGGAGGGTGAGTTGATGGTCTTAAACATTTTGAAAGCACAGAACAGAACCGTGCAGGTTAGCTACAGAGCGGAAACTGAGCACAGTTGTTCCCAAGGCATGCCGGTACACGACGCACGCGCTCGTTACGGTATGTGCGTGAACTACTAGTGTCTACAACAAAACGGACCTTACTTAAAAAATACCCCTCGTATATATGGTTTTCCTTCTCCTCAATTTATTTCTCCAGTACAGCAATCTAGATCAAAAAGTAGGCTAAAGTGAGTGGATGTAACTGGCTCAAGGTTGGATTTCATGGCTCACTAGGACATGGACCTAGATCTTGAAAATCTTGCTTTTATCTTCTGCTTCATTTCTTGATTTTTATGAGGACTTCAGATGACATTGTCTTCCCCTCAACACCTACCCACCACCCCTTGTTGTTTCTCAATTTCTCTTGTCATTTTTTGCTTACTTTGGAAAACAATCGGTTAAGAAACAATGCCTGCACGATGCCTTCTTAGCGAAAGTGTAAGGAATCCTCCATCTGGAAAGCCCCTCCAGCTATTACACCAGACTGACGCCACTCATTTGTACAGACTGGTGATTGGACTTGACTTGATCGTGTGCTAGCCTAAGAGGCCTTGCTGCTGGAAGCGGAGCCCACATTTTCCATCACTCACTCTCCAACCCCTAAGGCCAACACTTTGAGACAATTTGCAGCACAGTGAAGGTGCCAGCTCTTGCCTTTCTCTTTCTCTCTTCACCCACCCCCACAGTGCAGCAGAAATTAGGTCATTTTGCCCAGCTGCCTGTTAGGGCTGGGCCTGCGTATCGCATTGGCTAGAGCACACTGTGGTGTGATTTGTGCCAATGTGGATGTATTCAAACAAATACATCCACATGCCGAGAAAACAATATGCTAAAACCTTGTGCCGGTTTTACTACGTTAACCCACAAGGTGAGAACAGAAACTTGGACCATATTGCAGGGTTTTGGGGAGAATGTTTCAGCCCCCGTTTGAGAGTATCAGTGGGAGAGGTCATATAGGGTGAACAACAGCCAAGGGAAATAGGAGAGGCCCTGTTATTTCATCTATCTATATACATAAAAATGTAATATTAGTTCGTGCTACCATCAGAACTCAAAAACCACTGGGGGAATTGACACCAAATTTGGACACAAGACACCTAACAGTCCAATTTATGTCCTCCACTCAAAAAAATTGATTTTGTCATTTGGGAATTGTCGTTGCTGGGATTTATAGTTCACCTACAATCAAAGAGCATTCTGAACTCCACCAATGATGGAATTGGGCCAAACTTAGCACACAGGGCTCCCATGACCAACAGAAAAAACTGGAAAGGTTTGGTGGACATTGACCTTGAGTTTGGGAATTATAGTTATTACTGTATATATTCATACAAGTCTAGAATTTGTTTTTGTCAAAAATTGACCTGGGTTGACTTATTCATAGGTCAAAAGCAAGTACTTTTTTTTCCAAGGCACAATGGGTTAAACCCTTGTGCCGGCAGGACTGAAGATTGACAGGTCTCAGGTTCGAATCCAGGGAGAGTGCGGATGAGCTCCCTCTGTCAGCTCCAGCTCCCCATGCGGGGACATGAGAGAAGATGGTAAAACATCAAAAACATCCAGGAACCCCCTGGGCAATGTCCTTACAGACGGCCAATTCTGTCATACCATTAGCGACTTGCAGTTTCTCAAGTCACTCCTGACATAAAAAAACCTATTATTTAAAAAAAACTAAAAAGAAAACTTTGCCTTCTCTGAATAAGACATAAGCTTAGCCCATCCCAGGAAAATCTAAAAGAAGTGCCAACCCTCTCTACTCTCTTTGCCTTTTCAAAAGCCTGAACAGGAAAACGGTGGCAATGGTGGCTAGGTGCCGATGTCATTTTCCCCTTCTCTGCAGAATGACCCTCAAATTATCCTGGGGTCATATCAAAAACTGTAATTTTGACCCCCCAAATCTACCCTCAACGTATAGATGAAGTTGACATGGATGTGAATATATACAGTAAGTAAATCTATATAAATAAAAATGTAATGTTCGTTTGTGGGGTTGACATAACTCAAAAACCACTGGACGAATTGACACCAAATTTGGACACAAGGCACCTATCAGGCCAATGAGTGACCATCACTTATAAAAACATTGAAAATCACAGCAGAAGAGCCATAAAAAGCCAAAATTACATTACAACACATGCGCAAAACCACACACATATATACACAAATATATAGACACACAAAACATATATACACAGACTAGGCCACAGCAATGCGTGGCAGGGGACGGCTAGTATCAAATAAGAATGTTCGGAGACATAAGGAGACAGAAAACATGTAAGCAAAATCAGTTTGCAGCAATTTTGTGCTAGAGGAAAACAAGATGAGAAGCCAAGCACCTGCTTAGTACAGATCTACACTCCATGCCTAATACCTTTGAATCCTGGCGGCTTGTCAATCGCAAAGTCTCCATCCCAAATGACATCGAAGTCCAGTGGCAGCTCTCCCACTTCCTCACCATCATACCAATACTGAGGAATGAGAGGGTCATAAATTAGGAAAGACACCAGAGTATATTGTATATTATTATTATTATTATTATTATTATTATTATTATTATCATCATCATCGTCATCTTCATCATCACCACCACCACTACTACTAATACTAATTTATACCCCGTTTTATCTCCCCAAAGGGGACTCAAAGTAGCACGACATAAAAGTATTAGTATACAGTTTAAAATATACAAATATACAGACAATAAAAGAGAATGAAACACAAACAGCATTAAGAAATTCAAAGTTAAATTCCATTAAACATATTCAAAGTTAAAAACCACAGCATTGTATTGCAACAAATGGTAAACTCAACAAAGAGATAAGCATTGGGGCAAAACAAAAAAGAAAGAGAGCGACATCAAGCATCTCCATGGAAATATGGAACACACTTAGGTGTTCTGTAACTAGGACACATGAAGCATTTTACTACCTGGAAAGAAGTGTTTCCCAATAGCAAAGTCAAGGAGTATGCGCCTTCAAGTCCCCTGCTGGTTTATGACAGCCTTATTAATTTCATAAGGTTTTCTTAGGCAAGGAATACTCAGAGGTGGTTTTGCCACTTCCTTCCTCGCAAATAGGGCCTAAAGAACCTGGTATTTGTTGGCAGTCTTCCATCCAAGTACTAACCAAAGTATGTAAAGTCAGGGAAGTTATTTTAGCTCAGGGAGGGAGGTGGAGATAAAAAAATATATCCTCATCCATGGCAATAGAAATACAGTAATATAAAAATTCAGTTGGGAGAGCCTTCTCAAGATGAATGGGTGATAGCCTTATTCTGAGTAAGATAGGGATGGCAACTCTGCAATCTCCAAGGGCTAAACTTTGTGTTTATGGCACACTGGGAATGATACTCTGTCAATTCTATTTACCCGCATATTCCAGAATATAAGACCACTGGGTGAATAAGACGACCCCCAACTTTTCACCCTTCACTTACACCTTCCCGGTAAGGCGCCTCTTCACCTCACCATCGGGACCACATTAAGTCCACAAATCCTGATTTTCTTCTACCGTACTTGTACCGGGATTGTGGCGCAGCTGGCTAAGTGTCAGCTGCATTAAGATCACTCTGACCAAAAGGTCATGAGTTCGAAGCCAGCCCGGGTTGGAGTGGGTTTCCAACCAATTGTGTGTAGCCTGTTGTCAACCTTTGCAACCCGAAAAACAGTTGCATCTGTCAAGTAGGAAAATAAGGTACCACCTTAAAGTGTGGGGAGGCTAAATTAACTGATTTATGAGGCCATAAAAAAGACTCTAGCAAAGCATTCCAGGGGGGAAGCAAGCGGTGAATGTGGAAGTGCTTCATAAGCGTCGCAGATGGACGATGAAAGCGACAGCTCCCCTGGCGGCCAGAAAAGTTAAATAGCCTCTGTGTATGTGTTTGCATGTCAAAAATTGGCATTGAATGTTTGCCATATATGTGTACACTGTAATCCGCTCTGAGTCCCCTGCGGGGTGAGAAGGGAGGAATATAAAAACTGTAAATAATAAATAAATAAATAAAATTTCCAGTTAAAATATAGAGTTTGGGATATACTCGCCGTATAAGACTACCCCTCTTCCAACACACACCAAATAAAAAATTTAAAAGCATCAGATTTGATTTCAATATGGTAATTTTCCTATTACTGAATCTCCTTCTCTGCCTCTCAGACCTCGCACATGCGCACCTGCACCACTTCACTGCAGTCTTCAGGAGCGAGATCTGAGAGGCAGAGGAGGAGGTACGGTAATAGGATACAAGGGCGGGCCAGACAGGTAAAAGAGGTGTGTTTTTCTGGGCCCAGAGCCACTCTATTCCTTTTTTCCATATCCCGGGTGCCCTGGATGCCTGCAGCTTGCTCTGCCCTTCACTTACACCTTCTCGGTAAGGCGCCCCTTCACCTCACCTTCGGGACCACATTAAGTCCACGAATCCTGATGAATTTATTTATTTAGAACTTTTATATACTGGTCTTCTCACCTCAGCAGAGGGTCTCAGGCCGGTATACAACAAGATTCACAAACAATAGTTCAAAATATCACACCACATAATGCACTAATACATAAAATACATTAAAATACAATCATATAATTATATAAGGCCAAGTCATCAGAATAAAATCACAATTCATCACTATCTATCATTGTGGTCAGGAGTTATTGACTCACTCATCGAATGCTAAATTCCGGAGCCAAGTTTTCACCTGTTTCCTAAAAGTCAAGAGAGAAGGGGCAGTTCTAATTTCCAGTGGGAGAGAGTTCCAGAGCTGAGGGGCCACCACCGAAAAGGCCCCGTCCCTCGTCCCCACCAGACGCGCTTGTGAGGATGGTGGGACCGAGAGCAGGGCCCCTCCAGAAGATCTTAATAATCTTGATGGTTCATAGGGGAGAATCCGTTCGGACAGGTAAACTGGGCCGGAGTAGTTTAGGGCTTTATAGGTCAACACCAGCACTTTGAATTGTGCTCGGAAACTGATTGGCAGCCAGTGGAGCTGACGTAACAGAGGCGTAGTATGCTCCCTGTACCCCGCTCCTGTTAGAAGTCTGGCTGCCGCTCGTTGGACTAGTTGTAGCTTCCGGGCAGTCTTCAAAGGCAACTCCACATAGAGAGTGTTGCAGTAGTCTATACGGGATGTAACCAGAGCGTGAACCACCGTGGCCAGATCAGACTTTCCAAGGTACGGGCGCAGCTGGCGCACAAGTTTTAATTGTGCAAAAGCTCCCCTGACCACCGCCGAGACCTGGGGTTCCAGACTCAGCGATAAGTCCAGGATCACTCCCAAGCTGCGAACCTGCGCCTTCAAGGGGAGTGTAACCCCGTCTAACACAGGCTGTAACTCTATGCCCTGTTTGGCTTTACGACTAACCAGGAGGACTTCTGTCTTGTCTGGATTTAGTTTCAATCTGCTAGCCCTCATCCAGTCCGTTACAGCGGCCAAGCACCGGTTCAGGACTTGGACAGCCTCCTTAGTAGTAGATGAATGGATTTTCTTCTACCGTACTTGTACAGCATCGCCCTTAATGCTTTCATACAGTTGCTGCATATGGTAGGGACGCAGCCAGTGCCATTTTTGAGCTCCCCACAATATGCAGCAACCAGTTTCTCAAATCTGGATTGAAAGTTTCAGCACCTGCTCTATAAGACGACTCCCGCATGTAAGACGACTCCCATGCATAAGTCTACTCCAGCATATAAGACGACTCCCGCATATAAGACGACCCCTGACACTTGAGAAGATTTTCATGGGTTAAAAAGTAATAATAATAATAATAATAATAATAATAATAATAATAATAATATTACTTTATTTATACCCCTTTACCATCTCCCCAAGGGACTCGGTGCGGCTTACATGGAGCCGAGCCCAAAGTACATCAACAGTAAAAACAATAGGAAAACAATCAATACAACAGTTAAAATAAATCTCATAAACAAAAAATAAACAGTAGCAAGAACAATAAGCATTTTAAACCTATGGCTGGGCCAAATGTAATAATTTATAATTTAAAAAATAATGCTGGACATGGACAAGGTAGGATATAACTGGAATAGGGTTTTCAGGTAGAGATGGGGCGTGTAGACAATCCTAAATCAGTGATAAAGTGCATTTAGGGACATATTGCTGAGGGTATTTCCTTACTCTGGGAAGGCACAATGGAACAACCGCGTTCTCAAGCTCCTCCTAAAGACTGCCAGAGTTGGGGCATGTCTGATGTCCTTGGGGAGCAAGTTCCAGAGTCGAGGGGCCACCACCGAGAAGGCCCTCTCCCTCGTCCCCACCAATCGTACCTGCGATACAGGTGGGAGCGCGAGCAGGGCCTCTCCAAAAGTAGTGTTATACACCAGAATATATGGTAATTATTTTGGCCAGTTGTGGCCCTTTCAAAACATCTTTGCCTGGGGACTTGGAGAGGGTTTTCTGGGGAGGGGGATGAGACAAACTTTTGCATTTCTGGGAGGTTTGAGTCCATTTTGACTGGTTTCTATCACGGAGGTGGGACTTACCAGGGATCTTCAGGAGCTGTAAAACTGTGTTTTGGGGTGCCATACAGCCTGCTAATCTCATTTCCCTGCCCCTGGCCTTAAAACAGGACTAGATTGGGCTGATTTCCCTTGATTTTAATGTTTCAGGATCACGTACGCAGAGGAAATATTCACTAGTTTGCTAAATTTAGAACTGAATAAATAATACATTCCCCCATCTCTACCATTGCCCCATTTCTCGTATCTCTGGCACTGCCTGGGTTCTCAAAGTGTTGCCACCGATGATAACACAGACAATTGCCAAGAGAAACACACGCTTTTAAACAACCTCTATGTTTAAATACATATGTTAATCAAACGTACACAGTGCAATAGGAAACTCTTGAAGGCTCAACCCCCCCACCCCCACCCCCCACACACAAAGTGCTAAACAGACACAATCTCGGCAATGGATCTTGAATCATCTGAGTGTTACCTCCTAGGCCAAGGATCAGGAAGAGTGATAGTGACAAACAGACAAGAGCACAGCAGCTTTATAAATAGATGGTGGGTTTGCATGTTGTCATGACTGGGCCAGGAGCCAAAACATGCCGCCGACAAGGTGGGCGGCTATTTAATTGAGAGTTTATTGCTATTCTATGGCTTAGTTCTCTTAAGAATGCTTTGGGCTCACACGCTCCCCGTTTTTCTCATTCCTTCTTGTTGTTTTCTAACCTTTTTGCTGGACTGTGGAACAAAAGAATTGCCCTCCCAATTGAACTGTCTCTTTCAAGAGCATGTAAGTTAGGATCGAGGCATTCAAACAATTGCTTATTTTTTACTCAGAAGAGAATTTTTTTTTATTTATCGTGCAGGAGCAAACCAAACAGTTGTACTGCATTTTTTAACAAACAAACAAAAAAGCACAAAGTTTGCAAGCTTGGTAGTTGATTAAATGTCCTTTGACCAGTAGCTGACCACTTGAAATACCTCTGGTGTTACTATAAGAAGGTCCTCCATTGTG